GGCTTATCTCCGACACGAATTGTTTGGTTATTACTGTCGATTCGTTCGGCGCATCATTTGTGACTGAAAACTTTACGTAATTGGCAAACTCTTTTCGTGAAACTTTCACCATTTTTGAAATGCGTTTTTACAATAAATAAACGTTGTTTGCTTGAATACTTCTCCATATTCTCAAATCGCATGTTATGTACGTGACAATAACTGTTAAAAAAAATCACTTAATTGAAAAAATCAAAATCCGTTGCTCTTGTTGGTACACCATTTATGATGAGCCTCAGCTGGTCGGGTTTGTCAGTCACTCATTGTGATTCTGGTAACGTTGGTTACGGCGGGCCATGCATTACAGAGGAGAAATGATCTAATGTTTTTGCAAGAACATGTTTCAATTGTGTTTTCTCACGCACAATTCTTGACTACTGAGAGCAAGGAAAATATGGACGCATCCAGAATGAATTGTTTTTCCGAGAACAAGTTGATTTTCATTCAATTCTCCTCCCAACCAAGATTCGTAGGGCATTCCAGATTTGGGTCACTTTCAAGAGAACTCTAGATCTTTGATAGCCATCTTGGGTCAATTCTGATATTCAGATCTCTTCATTTGAAGTTTCATCTTCAAAATGAGCCCAAGATTTCCAAAATCGGTTGACGTGGAAAAAAGTTATGGCTGCAAAGCCAAAAAGTTGATTTTTTGAGATCACTCTGTAAATAAGAGAGATAGGAAGTTGATTCGCGAAATATCTCGAGGTAATGAGATCATCTTCATGCCTCTGTTGTCGAAGTTGAGAAACAAATTTTTTTCACCATTTGAGAGCCTTTTGAATATTCCGAAATTTTACACAGTGTCGGAAAACACCATGTAGAAATTTTATGTGAATACCCTTATATTTCAATGAAGTACGAGATTATAGCTGAAGGACTGGGCTATCGAACAGGGGCGACATTTTGGTGTGCGACGAAATTAGTGTTGAGTAGTTTAATTCAAATTCTTTTTCTTTGCTTGAGATTAGCAAAATGATACCAAATTATGGTGATGATGGTAATATACAACCTCTCGAGTTTTTAGAATACTTGGAAAACAGTATCGATGTTGATAGAGTTCCCTTCTGTAAAATAAAAATTTTATTGAATAACGCTTTCAAACAATCAGCCAAACTTTGGTGGGATGCTTTTTCAAATTCTCTCGACAGTTACGATAATTTTAAAGTAGAATTTGTAAGATGAAAGAACAACTGAAGGTTAAAATGAGACTCGAAACTGATGTTTATAAGGAAGGGTTGTTTGTTGACCACTTTAATTTCTGGGTGGCCAAGGCTAAATACTTACAGCCCCCTTACTCGGTAGTACAACTAATAGATGTTATTGCTCCACATTTTCCCCCTCCCATTGCAGCGACATTAATAGGTTGTAGATCTTTATCGGATGCTATTTCACGACTTCGCCATGCTGACGATTATTACAAAAATAATCCAGTAGGTAATTGCAATAAAACTTTTTATCAATACAATGATAGAGAACAAAATAGATTTGGAAATAAACCACCAGGTCATCATCGAAATCAACAGAAAAGTAATTTTGGCGAAAAATATAATAAACGAGATATAATAAACGAGATATCGAGACAGCCGCGGTTCAGGGAAACGATTAATTCCCTCACACTTTTTGATCTTTTAGAAGAACGATGTGACTTTGAACACTCCGTAATTGAAGGTCGTTCACCTTTGATATTGTTGAATCTTTACGGGACGAAATTCATCACGCTAGTGGATACCGGTAGCGCGGTCTCAGCGATTTCTTTAGATGTTTGGATGCAACTTGCAAATTATCACAAGATAATTCCGCATTTCCCTTGTGTTGGCATTAAAATCGTTGGCGCTTTTAAAGGAAAATTTAGAAGAGTGTCTTTGCAGGTCCAAATTGATTTTTCCATCAAGCAGTCGTCTAAGTTATCACAAGAATTTTTTGTAGTGGACGGATTGTCGTACCCAGTTATTCTAGGGTGCGATTTTTTGCGTTTATTTAAAGCTTGTATAAATTTGGCCCAGCGTTTTCTCACAATACAGATTGAGTATAACGATATCGTGATACCAGAAATTGAGAACTGGGACGACATTAGTGCTCCCGATTTGCTAAATATTAGCGCTATCGTAAATAATAACGGCCTCGAATCAGGAATCTTGAAGAAAATAAAGGAGGAGGACCCTGACTCAAATATTCTCACGAACGTTGAACAAAATAAATTCGAAACTTTGTTGAAACAGTATGATTATGTTTTTTCGGACATTCCGGGACTCACCTCGGAATATACACATAGTATCAAATTGAAGAACAAGACGGAATTTTTTGTGAAGCCATACCCCATACCAGTTGCACACCGTGCAGCTGTGGAAAAAATCATAAGCGACATGGAAAACTGGGGGGTAATTGAACGAGCGTCCTTTAAATATATATCTCCCCTAATGACTACTGTCAAGCGGGATGGTAGTGTTAGGGTATGCCTAGACGCACGTAAATTGAATTCCGTTATGGAGCCCGATTTTGAGCTTCCACGACCCATTAACGAGCTTATCAAATTAATGTCTGGTAAAAAGGTTATGTCATCGCTAGACCTTACACATGGATACTGGCAGGTGCCTTTGCGTGAGGAGGACCGGCAATACACCGGGTTCATGGTAGGAACAAAAACTTATCGTTTTCGGGTTCTTCCTTTTGGACTTTCGACCGCCGTAAGCTCATTCACTCGATACATGGATGCCATTTTCGGGCCAGAGTTTAGAGATTCCTTAGTTGTCTATGTCGACGATATTCTGGTAATGAGTTCCACGGTCGAAGAGCATTTAGAACATCTGCAAATGATTGACAAAAGACTAAAATTGGCAGGCATGACCCTAAAATTGTCGAAGTGTCATTTCTTTCGGAAACAAATGCATTACCTAGGTTATTTACTAAGCAGTGAAGGTGTCAGGCCAAACCCTGACCGAGTGCAGGCTATTGCGGATTATGTTAGACCGAGAAATACTCGAGAATTACAAAAATTCTTGGGGTTGTGTCAATAAGACCGAATTTTCACCTCTAAGTTCGCCGAAGTTTCTGCACCTCTCACTGAACTTTTAAAAAAAAAGGTCCCTTGGAAGTGGGATGACAACAAAGAGCGTTCTTTCCAGAACATCAAAGATGACTTGAAGACAGCTACTTTGCTATACCACCCAGATCTTCAACTACCATTGCATTTGCAGACCGATGCCAGCGACGTGGGGATAGCTGCGCTTCTATTTCAGGTGGTAAATGGTGAGCGGCGCGTAGTGGCCTATGCATCAAGATTACTCCTGGATCGAGAACGTCGTTACAGTTCCTTCGAAAAAGAATTGTTGGCAGCAGTGTGGGCCATCCAAAAATGGCGCGTTTATTTACTGGGCACTACGTTCACTTTACACACAGACTGTAGGGCTATGACTTACCTCCATAGCTGTCGGCTTTTTTCCCCTCGAGTCACGCGGTGGGCCCTATCTTTGCAGGAGTTTTCATTCCAAGTTATTCCCTTATCCCGGCACGCCTGCGTACGTTTTTCCACACCACTTGATAAGTGTTTTGAAATTTGTTCCTCTCTTGTGTTTCCAGCTGAGTTCAATATCTTGTTGAAAGACATGTCTCGTCATCAACGTGTAGATTCCAAGTTAGCTCAAATCATTGAGCAGCTGTCGACTAATGAGAAGCTGCAACAAGATTTTGCCCTCCACAAGGACATCCTTTTCAAACGAGGTGGTGACGTTGATAAATATCTTCTCTGTGTTCCATCTCAGTTGATTTCTGATTTTGTTATCGCATACCACCAAAGCCTGGGTCATTTTGGGGTATACAAGTGTTGGCGCGCTCTGAGAGATGAGGTCTGGTGGACAAATATGTATCGTTCCATCAAACGAGAAGTTTTAAAATGCGAAATATGTCAGAAGGCCAAGGTCTCCACTCTTCCTAGTCCACCCCAAAAGCAGATTGTACCTACACACAAGTCTGACATAATTTCCATGGACATTTAAGGACCATTAGTCCGGAGTAAGGGAGGAGTATGCTATTTATTAGTAGTGTACAATTTGTTAACAAAACATGTCGAATTATACCCTCTCAAACGTGCTACGTCCAAGGCTATTATCAACCGGTTATTCACCAGCTATTTTCCGACTTACGGGCTAGTGTCACGTTTGTTACATGACAACGGGACACAATTCACTTCGCGATTATGGAGGGAAAAATGCAAGAGTCGCAGATAAGGCTGGTATACAGTTCGGTGAGGCACCCCTGTGGTAACCCCTCGGAAAGAGTAATGCGGGAGTTAGGCCGATTGTTCAGGACGTACTGTTCCGAACAGCACACGCGCTGGGCGCAGGAGGTTCCTCGATTCGTTAATTTTTTGAACAGCGTGGTTCACGAGTCTACAGGTTTTACGCCTAATGAACTTCAGTTGGGCAGAGAAAGTCCAAAGTTGCTTCCTGAGTCCTTGATGCATCCGATCCAACCATCATCTAAATCACCTGCCCAGAAACTGATATTGGCCGAGGCCACTTTACGTGGTGAAGCGGCGCGTCGATCTTTGAGGTATCCTGGACGCCCTTTCCCCAAATTTCTAGTTGGGGACTTAGTGCTTAGTCCTTTTTAGGTATGTAAATTTCGTATTTTAATTTGTAGTGAATGTTGTCATTGGAAACGATTCCCAGGTTCTTGGTTAGGAACATTTTTATGTAAGTCCTGTATGTCCTTTTTAGATGGAAATATAATCCAAAATATCAGAAGCAATCACTGATTGTTCCTCCCTCAGTTTTGACACCCTACACCTGAGATTTTATTACGTAACCAGCATATCACTTGCCGGTTTTGTAACAAACTCTTCACCTTTTTATAAAGTAAACGGTAAAAAATAAACAAAAATTGAAACAGTTGTATTCATAACGTCATTTTGAAATCCTATCATTCTTATTGAAAAACCGTTTTAACAATTTTGGAGTACTCACATCATAAGGCAATACTTTAACTGTAGATGTGGGAAGTAATTGAACATCATACTGTGTACTAGATGATGACGAGTTTCGCAATGAATCTCTTCGTTGCTGTTTCAGGTCACATTTTTTCAGTCTAAGGGAATCACTATCTACACATCTCTTGCACATCCAGGTTGAACCTAAAAATAATTTCTTCATTATTCGAGGAATCATGTGAAGATACATTTTGTTGAAGAATTATTTGATAGAGATTGATGTTCATAATATATCTGAGAATATTCCTTTTCAATAAAGTTAAACAGAATTATTTTCTAAGTTGTTGAAGGTAAATTAAGCATGTTATATCAAGGTAGATTTTTGAAAGGACAGTAGAAGTAGATTGATTTATGTAGTTGAAGTGACACTTTTAGTGGTGACTTTATTGTTTCGGAGTGTTTGAAAACAAATGAGCTACAAAAAGTAATTTTAGTTTCAGCTCAAAATGAAAAATCAAAGAGGATGATTATGGGGAATCCACTGAGCCCTTTAATCGCTGAAATTTTCATGGATAATTTGGAGCGAATAATACATAAACATCCATTAATAAAACAATTTTGTATTGGTATAGATATGTAGATGACCTAATAGTATGCTTTAAAGGAACCCGCGAAGGAACCAATAGACATGTTGTAAATGCAGTGAAATTACATATAGAGGAATGAGTTCCAAATATACTGACAAGTTTCATTTTTTTATTGACAGAACAACTGAATTATTCACAACACATTAATTGAAATATAGTATGTGATAATAAACATCAAGTCATCAATGATTGATCTTCAACAAGACCATTAGAAACTTTTCATCAATAAATTAATACAATTCCTCCAAATATAAAATTCACAATGTAAATAGAATCAGAAAAGCCAATCAGTTTCTTAGATTCAACAATAAGACAATTTTCCATAAACCTTCCCACACTGATATCACTATTCATAATAATTAAACACACCCTGATCAACATGAAATTGCGAGGTGAAGAAAGCCAAACCGGGTGATTTACCTGAAATATGACTTACTCGTGGAGTGAAGCCATTCACTTTTGTTGGTATCGATTATTTTGGTCCATTATTTGTCACAGTTGGGCGACATCGAAAAAAAAATGTGGGGAGTTACATTTACTTGCATGACAATTCGTGCAATTCACTTAGAAATCGCACATTCATTCACCACCAATAGTACTATTATGGCAATTCGGAGAATAATATCTCGACGGAGACCAATAAGACACCTGTATTCAGATAATGACACTAACTGCAAAGGAGCAAATGAAGAGCTGACAAAACTCTACAAGGAATTAAATACGAAAATAATATCAATCGAGTTGGCAGTGATCGAAATATAGTACTTTATACTACCGATAACTCCGAACATGGGTGGCTGTTGGGAGAGATGACATACTGAGGTGATTCAGACTAATTTAGACTGACTCAGAAATCATGAGCCTACCTAAGTGATTCGACGTTCAAAAATGTAAAGCCATGTAATTCAGTACCAGCGTTACTAAAAAGCTCTAGAATGATGTGTGAGAAGATTATTTGAGGGGTGATAACTACCCCTTTGACGGCCTGCTCATCAATAATCTCCTCATACATCATTCTAGAGCTTTTTAGTAACGCTGGTACTGAATTACAACATGGCTTTACATTTTTGAACGTCGAATCACTTAGGTAGGCTCATGATTTCTGAGTCAGTCTGAATTAGTCTGAATCATATCTGTATGTCATTTCTCAAGCACAGAAACATGTTTTTTCCATTAAATATCCTCTTTTCATGATAAAGGTGGATTAACATATATTTTTTTCAAAATCCGACGCTACTGGTGGTTTGGCTGCTTGGTGAAAACTGGCCGCTAGGAAATGGCTGCTAGCTTCACACCGGTATTCGAAGAACCTACAAAGGCAGTGGAAGAAGTCGCATATGTTGTCAGACATATTTTGGTCAAGATGGATTAGAGAGTACTTGCAGTTGGAGATGTTGTTGTGGTTGCTGATGGCACCTCACCACGAAACTCATGGCCATTGGGAAAAATAACGACGGTTTTCCTAGGAAGAGACAACATCGTCCGAATAGTGGAAGTACGAACATATACTTGTTGATTTGTCGACTAGATGTAGAAGATGAGGATTCCAAGATGAATGTTCACGGTGGGGAATGTTACGGAATGAAGATGAATATTGTTAAATTTCATCATATTGTATAATGTACTCAAATGTTATATGCTATGGAAATTTTGTTGAAAAAAAAAACAACAAATTTTGACAAGAAAATATAGAAAAGTCAGAAAAAGCAAAAAGGGTTCTTTTATATCGAAAATATTTTTTTTACAATCAGAGAAACACATTTATGGAACAAAACTCCCATCCGCGTAAATTTTGAAATAATTTTACTTTCAAAATTTAAAAAAAGGGGCTTGTGGGGTTAATTCTTGCCGACAAAATATTGTGAGATAATAATAACCATCAGAGGAACACATTTATGGAAAAAAGCTCCCATCCGCGTAAATTTTGAGTGATAATTTTTTTTCAAATTTCAACAAAGGAGGCCTGTGGGGGTAATTTTTGCCCGACAAAATATTGTGAGATATACACGTCATCAAGTTCCATCAGGGAACACATTTATAGTTTTTCTATTTTTCGGGGAAGTAATGACTTTTTTTTCGAATTTCAAAAAAGAAGGCCAGTGGGGTTAATTCTTGCCTGACAAAATATTGTGGTATACACATCATCAAGTGTCATCAGAGGAACACATTTATGGAAAAAAACTAAGATCCACGTAAATTTTGAAAAATATATGATTTTTTTCGAAATTTCGAAAAAAGGGGCCTGCGGGGCTAATTCTTGCCTGACACATTTATGGGAAAAAACTCCCATCCACGTAAACTCTGAAAAAAGGGGACCTGTGGGGTCTATTCCTGTCCTACAAAATATTGTGAGATAAGTATACACATTATCAAGTACCATCAGAGGAACTAATTTATGTAAAAAAGCTCCCATTCACGTGTATTTTGAAAAGGTCATGATTTTTTCCGAAATTTTAGAAAAGATGACCTGTTGCGTTAATTCTCGCCCGACAAAATATTGTGAGAAATACACATTATCAAATACAATAATTCATAGAAAAAAACTCCCATCCACGTGTATTTTGAGAGTAATTATTTTTAAAAATTTCAAAAATGGGCCCTGCGGGGTTGGTTCTTGCCCGACAAAATATTGTGAGATATATAGATTATCAAGTACAATTAGTGGAACGCATACATGGAAAAAAACTATCATCCACGTGTATTTTGAAAAAGTATGTTTTTTTTCCAAAATTCACAAAAACAGATTATTAAGGACCCTTAGAAGAATACATAAATGGAAAGTAGTTTTATCCACGGACATATTTTGGAGGTTTCAGTAATTTCATGGCCAGCCACGAGTATAAATTAGTAATAAACGACCATTGGTAGTATATCGCGCGCCTGGAATATTTGGTCATGGCTGGAACTCGTTGCTGGTTTCGCACTGATAAATTTAATAGGTGATACCTAGAACTGGCAAAAATAAAGAGAAAAGAGCTGATGGACTCAGTTCGATGGTCACTTGATTGTATTGAACTGTATATGTTTACACCTTCATATGATCAATAAAGTTTTCACACTGATATTAAATTTTCCTGATTAAAATTTGAAACACTGTAGAATATAGGACTTATTTCCTTGTCGTCTTTTAGTCAAGAACTTGCCAATAAACCTCTACTTTTGTCTTTAAGAGTTTTATTAATGACTTTTATCAAAATTATCTTGACATATATCTTTTTTTATCAACATGTACAGGGTGTTATTAATCATAAATACGATATTGTCACGAATAGGGTTATTCTTCTTAATTTCGTTCAAATTCATACAAGGTTCGAAGTCATTGAACGGTCGCGTCTTTGTTTATTAATTCCAAAATTTTCGAATCGTGAACGAACTTTTTTCCATAGTTGAACATAAACACAGGCGTGATATTGACTTCAACGAACCTGGACTATCGACCTGATTTCCTTACTGTCACGTTTCCGAAAATAAAGACAACTAAGACGTAAGGAAGCGGGTTCGACAGTGCGACTACCGGTTCGACTGCGAGTTGGACTGCCAGTTCTAGTTCTAGTCCTGTTTTTATTATACGAGTTAGGGAAGTCTAAGTTCTACCGATTGTAAGTTTGTAAAGTTGCCACTGTGCCCGAATCTTCGGAGTGGGCAGAACAGAAGATGCCCTTCCTCAGGCTCCCAGAAATACCAGTTAATTTTGTACATATAGGGTAAGTTAAGTTTTGATTTCATTGTTATTCTTTGCCGAGAATAAATGTGTGTACATGTTTTGTTTGAGAACCTTCCGAGTATTATTTATCATTATCACTTTTTAAGTTCATTCTCTAGGGGATCTAGAACACAACTTAGGCAACCCCCGCCTACAGTTTGTGACAATATAAACTATGAAATCAGATACTTTAGTATCAACATCCTCCCCCATGCTAGGCAAACTAGTTTTCCCCTAGATCTAGCCTGCATATCTTCGTTACTGGACGGCGATACTCAGCAGTTGAAGTTTTGACATCTACCACGCGCACTTTTCCATCGGGCCCTGGGTAGACAGCATTCATTCTTCCCAATTTCCAGGCATACCTTGGCATGTTGTCATCGACTAGTATGACCACATCGTTCACCTGGATTGGTTGTTGTCCTCTTGTCCATTTAGGTCTCTTTGATAATGTTGGTAAATATTCTTTTACCCAACGTTTCCAGAAATTATCCAATAACATCTGAGTATTTTTCCACTCTCGACGTAAACAATCTGAATTGGGATCGAGGTGTATGATTGAACTATTATCTCCATCGGATCACTTGATACTCCTGTCAGGGGCCTAGAATTCACGATATACTCAGCTTCAGCAAAGTAGGTTTGGAGAGTTTCTTCTCGAATGGATTGGTCATGCAGATCATTGACAATTATTTTTTTGATGAATCCTATCAGCCGTTCCCATACACCACCCATGTTTGGAGCACCCGGTGCATTGAATTTGAATTCGATACCTCTGGAAGTCATTTCATCAACTACAGCTGATTGTCCTCCATAACAGCTGACTCACTGTTCAGACTTTGAAATATCTCTAGGTGAATCGCTCTTATTGAAAGACACGTAAAAAGAACAACCCAATTTTTCTCTCTACGTCTTCCAATTTTGATATGAACTGGTCCAAAATAGTCCATACCAACGTTAACGAAAGGTCTGACTTCTGGACCCAGTCTTTCTTCGGGTAATTGTCCCATCCGTGGTGGTATTGGTTTGGATCTTTCATTTCTACATTTTTGACATGTGGAGAAAGCTGATTAAACTGCTGCTCGGCAATTGATCACCCAATATTTTTGTCTGATTTCATTCATGATGTGCTCTGTTCCTCTGTGTTGGTATTTTTCATGGTAAAGTCTAATGAGCAATTTCGTAAATTCATGTTTTGGGTCTAAAATTATGGGTTCTTTTGTACTGTTGCTAAGGGTTTTTGCCAAATTTGTCCTCCCTCGAAGTACAAGAATTTTGTCATTGTTGAGTCCAGGACATATCAAAAGTACAATTTCTTCAGGAAAACTTTGTAACTGGCATTGTTTGATCCAGATCTTCTCCGCCTCTTCAATTTCTGAAGTCGATAGTTCTTTCTGGAAAACTGGTTTATTTTGTCTGTGTATGATTTTCTTGAGGAATCTTCTGCTCCACGCTGTACATCTCATCAGTGTACTCTGTCTTCATCTCAGTCTCACCCAGATCTGATAACTTCAGATTATGATCTTCTTCCGGCCAGTGCTCTTCTTGTTTTCTCATAATACAGGTCCACCAAACCAAACATCTGATATTATTCTATTCGGCGCATCATAATTGGATCTGGTTGCCTCATCAGCGGGATTATCGTCGGTAGGTACCCATCTCCAGTCTTCAACGTTTGTTCTTTCTTGAATTTCACCTATTCTATGTGAAACAAACTGTTTAAATCTCCTTCGATCACTTCGTATCCAATTGAGGAAACATTTAGAGTCTGACCAAAAAAACATTCGCTGAATATTTATTTCCAATTCGGTCTTTATGGATTGGCCAATCGACTTGCCATCACAGCAGAATGTTACATTTGACCCTGTATAATGGACTGTTGGTTGTTGTCAATTTTGACTTGAGATTAAAGGAAAAAGTCTATACAGTCCAAGACTATTTTCCTTATAATTGGACCAGACAATAACATTGTGGTCCTTTTTTTTTTAAATGTGCCAAAAAATCGGCAATAGGCTAGGATAAGAGCGTTCAATTAGCCTTAAATTATGGTGTAATTTGTTTCAGGATTGAACTTTCTTCACCATGTTGGCTTTGGGGAAAATATTGGCAGAAAATGATTAACAAAAAATCGATAATAGGTTCAATGAAGAGCTTTAAACCTTAAATCGATAATAGGTTCAATGAAGAGCCTTAAACCTTAAATCGATAATAGGTTCAATGAAGAGCCTTATTTGATATTTAGTTCTGTTAGCTTAATGGTTAAGCTAGGAAAACCTGTGGTTTTTTAAAAGAACAATGTGTGAAAGAATCGGCAATAGGCTAGGATCAGAGCCTCAAATTGGCCTTAAATTATGGTCCAGTTAGTTTTGTGATTGAAATTTTGTATATGAAGTGGTTCTGCTAGCTTAACACTAAGCAGTACTCACATTTCTTTGCATTAAATGAAGAGCAATAAGTTCAGCAAAAGGGTAATGAATTAGCCTTAAATTATGGGGAAGAAAAAATTGAGAAATCCAAAGTGGTTCTGGTAGCTTAATGGACGTGATTGGTTTGGGCAGCTCAATTTCTCTAATTATCTCTTTACCACCCAAGTTTTTTGAGGATACCTTCTTTATTTTCAATCTCTTAAAAATTGTTGTCGGACATATCTCAAGGTTGACAATGAATGAATGTGCTATCAGATTCTTCAATTTCATTTTCTTTACATTAGGTATTATTTCCTTCTATAGGGGTGTTCACATATCAGTTTCTATAGATGTGTTTTTTAAGTATGTGGCCAAACTTTAAGGGGCGATTTTTTTGTGATTTAAGAGGAAAAGTTCAAGTGACCATAGCTCCAAAAATGCAAAATTTCAAAGATACAGTGTCAAACTTTTTCAAAAAATAGGTTTCTTGTCAATCTAGTGATGGCTTAATCAGTATCTGAACTTTTTGACTTGGAATTACTAAATCAACTCTTGAGGTATAGCCATATACTAAAAATTTTATCTTATCAGTCATCTGATTGGCCCCTTAAGAGCAACCCTCAGGAGACTTCAAAGAGACTTGTGCAAGCAAGGAATGACGGGGGCCTTACCTTTGATCCTTAACACTTTCCTAGGCCATTAGAAAAATTCTGCAGTATTGAAAATGAATAGAATACTGATGCTTCAACCATGAGGCTAACCTGCCATTCCCTATATCCTTGATGAAAATTGCTATTCTCTTTCAGGATAAGTGCAGATCTTTAGTGAGTTTATAATAGTTCTGCAGGTGCAGACCTTTAGTAAAAAACAGTGCATTTCCGGATCCTTATCCCTTACACTCCCGAGAATAATTTGGAAAGTATAGCCGAAATTTCTCTGGCAGGTGTGACTCAGAGTTACCTCAGAAACTCCCTGAATTTTTTTCGATTTTTTTCAGGATGATGTAATATTATTTTCAGGACCCTCACAATCGTGTTATTTGGTATTGAAATGGGATTTCAACTGGGAATGAAGAAAACGCTAATCATGGAGAAATATGCATTTATTGTTTATGTTTTGTTATGAAAAGTGATGAAACAATTATTTTCATTGTTCAAGCACAGAAATAGGCGTACATTGCATTTTTAACACCTCGTCCTTGAACGGCTCCTGCAACTTTCCAGTCAGCCAGTACGTGGTGATTTCGGAGAATCAATGACAGGCCAGTGGTCAATTTCATCATATCGTTTGTCATTTGTTGAATTAGAAGCTTCTCTATTTGCAAGAAGAACGGTTGGTTTATTGGCATTTTCATCCACCAACTCAACAAATATTCCTCCAGCACTTCTACCTGTTCATGTGCATTCAACTCCCACTGGTCATCTTAATCGGACTCGGTTCCCAGATTTAATCCTATCTGATCCAACAATTCGTAAATTTCATCTTGATCTTTTTGCAATTCAAATTCTTGGAATGGAGGACAGTTTTGACACACTGGAATGTTTAAATCAAAATCGATAATGGTCATGGATCCATAGCGGTACGCTCCTGGAGCACACAAATGTGATGGTACACAAGTATGTACTGAAATCTGATCCGGAAAAAAATTTTGGAAACAGCCACTGTGAACCACCATGTTGAATCATGTTTATATTTGTCATTCAATGCATAAAATCATTCACAATATATTTGATGTTTTTGATTCACTCTCCTTCAGGAAACATTTTTCAGTGGAGACCAAATGCACCACACAATGATTTATTTTTTTACGCAGCCTGAAAATAAAATAAGCAGCAAAAGCGGTTTGTTCTGTGCAAATAGAACACTCACAAATATAGTGGCTAGTTCTCAATCCAGCAGAATGATATTTTGATCCTTATAAATCACTTAGATAATGCCTGTACAATTGTGAGGGTACGGAGCGTAAGGGATAAACCAATGAGGAAACAGATTTTGAGTAAAAATACTCATGTTTTATAGTTATTAGGATGTGAAAAAGGCAATATCCACAAAATATGACCATATCTTGATGTGAAAAGATGTATATTTATATACATTTAGTTCACTGGCCAGAGATTTTCTGGACATATAACCCTTTCTCTATGCAGATACCAAATATTCCCTCATGTTCAATTCTGATAGGTACTGATACAATGAGAGTGGGAACATCAATCAACTTGGGTACTCACCATCATCTTTCTGTGAATGTATTTGATTCTCGGGCTGATGACATTTTTGATGATATCCTCTGCCACATTGATCACATACAGTAATCTCCTGCCTATTCTTGGGTGCAGACTTTTTACAAACCACACACAACAAATCTTCCTGTTCTGGAGTACTCAGCTTTGTTAAATCTTTATATGTTGACCAATTATATGTATTGTCTCCGAATTTCACTAAGCATTGTTCTCTAACACTATTAACTTGAACCACTGTTCCAAAATAATATCTATCATCTTTTTGCTTTACAAGAACATCTTGTCCAATTGAGAATTCAGACATTTCTCTATCTACTGATGTAGTGCTATCTGGTAATTGTGTCTGTTGTTGAGGATTATTTTTCTTCAGGATATTATCTGTGGACATCATTTTCAGAACTTAACCTAGGAGACACTTCCACTATAACTAGAAGAAAAATGTATGTTAAAGTTAACTTCAGATTTTCCAATACCTGTTTATATTCAATTTCTTCATAAATTCAATGAACAGTACGAAAATAATTTTGAACACACCATCAAAAACACAAACATAACTGTTCACACCCTACAAGTGACTCAATACAAACTAAGATAGAATTGACGAAAAATCATCACCCTTAATACAAGAAAGCTGGCAAAACAATAATAAAACATTTATATAACTCACTATTTGTGGCGTCTCCCTTCTTATAGAACTCCATCCGAACCCAAAACCTTTACATTTGCGGCCATTAAACTATTGTTTGTATAAAACCCGCCAAAGTGGTAAATGAAAATAACTTGAATCTAAACCTCTCATGAACCACCCGGAAGATTTTATTCAAAATAATTGTTACACTGGTTCTACAGCTTTATACATAATGATGGTTTTCATTAATTATATTTATTAAACAAATTAATAGAAATTTAATTTTAAATAATAACGAAACTGTATTTTATGACAAGTAATATGAGGTGACACTGGTGACAGAACTGACAGGCGGACATGAATGACATGTTCTGTGTCAGCACTGTCAGTGTGTCAGTCATCAAAGCTACAGAACCACAAATTGTCAAAATCATATATCTACTACTGATATATGAAGCATAGCCATCAAAATAATATGAATTTCGACTACTGCAAGCAAAGGGTCCCTTGATGCAATCTGACGTATTTGTCTTCTTAACCTTAACAGGGTACGGACAGATCCTCGTCTCTTCTCACTCTAAAGTGTTTGTGAAACACTTATACAGGGTGATTCAAAAGTAAGCGGCATCCTTTCAGAGGCGTATTCCTTGCTTGAAAATAAGGCAAAAAGTTCCTATTGATAAGGATCCGAAAATGCTTCCTAAGGGAGCTACGGCCCTTTGAATAGGACACCTCAAAGACGGTTTTTTCTCTATAACTTTAAAATCCTTCACAACAAATTTTTAAAAATTGGTGTACGGCATAAACATTCGATGGTAAATAGGACTCCGTATTCGAAATTTCAGAATTTCATTCAGGGGCGTCACATGCGGGAGAGGGTAAGTGTAAAAATATCCCTTCTTCTCCGGATATTCAGGTTACTGTGATTTCGTTTGGAAATTATTTCGAATACGGAGTCCTATTTACCATCGAATGTTTATGCCGTACACCAATTTTTTAAAATTTGTTGTGAAGGATTTTAAAGTTATAGAGAAAAAACCGTCTTTGAGGTGTCCTATTCAAAGGGCCGTAGCTCCCTTAGGAAGCATTTTCGGATCCTTATCAATAGGAACTTTTTGCCTTATTTTCATGCAAGGAATACGCCTCTGAAAGGATGCCGCTTACTTTTGAATCACCCTGTATAGTTCCATCCTCCCAACTCTGGGGATAAAGGGTGCGTTTTTCATTCCAACATTTTATCATGCGCATGAATCGAAGAAACCATCAAACTGTTGCAAAATTCCGCTGGAATGTTGATGGACATCCATCAAACTGTTGTAATAAAATGCGCACTTTTAAATCGCATTTCGAGAATCCAGCAGTTTGGAGGAGATTGACATGACAGTTGACACATTTCAGTGTTGTTTTTTGTTTTGATTTGATAGAAAACAATTAATATTGAGGATTTTTGAGATTCTTGAGAGATTTTAGAAGAAAGAGTCAGTGTTAATTAATAAAGTCGAATTAGCCTTTTCTGATTCTCAAGATACATGATGACTGACACACAACAAAATCCGTGTTTCCATCAATGTGTTGTATAAACCATTGTTCAATCCTTCCAGCAAAAATTCCAACAGAACAATTGGTGACGTCACGACAAAAAACCGCATCTATCCCAGTGCGCACTTTCTTCGATGGAATGAAAAACACGCCCAACACTAGATTTTTGACATTTGTTGTTTTTTAGCTTATATTGAGGTCATTGGCGTATCATACGTAATTTCCATATGGAATTCCTGATTCAACTATACCAAGATATAGTTGGACAATCCTCTAGTTTTAGAGTTTACCACTTCAGCATAATCTTTGCGAGGTAGGGAACATATAATTTTTACTAAAAGCTTAATAAATTTTACCAAAAGAGACTGTTCTTAGACTGTATATACCAGGGTTGACTGAATTGACTGAATGAATTCAAGCTGAGCAGTAGTTAAACTATGAGCTGAATGAGCTGAGTCTTATGATTGAGAAATGGTGAAAACCCTGATGTGGGTATCTGAACTACTGTACTCATGTCATGTGTGCTAAATTTATTTTTGGAAATCCAACTCGGAGAAGAATTTATGGAGTGACTAATTATTAACACAATAACATCTGTAAAACGTCGTAGAAACATCCATATGGGATGATAGGAACATCTCTGGAAAATCCCTATTTTCCTTGGGACATTCTTGGGATGTTGCTGGCAACACCCGTGTCAGCATTTGCGATGTCTTATAAACATCCCATCAGAATGTTTGTGGGATGCTACGGAATGTACCATAGACAATCAGGGTACTTGATGTGGGACATCTTAAAGAGACTTTTAGGATGTTTTTTGTTAGATGACAGAAATGGATGACACGGTATGAATTATTTTCAATCTGAAATCCTGAAAACGGCCGACCTATTTCCAGATATGAAGTAACATTGCGAATCCGAAAATATAAGGTCGGTGCGGTCCAATAACTAATGGAAGATAATAACAGTTGTTTGACGCTCATATTTGTTGGCGCTGGGCCGACGGCTGTTAGTAACTCTTAGCAACGTAGTTGTACCGCCATCTATCGGCTGGTATAACAAATAAATTCAGCAATGAATATGCTGAATAGATATATTTCAATTTTGTCGTTTATTACATGGTTCATGGAGTTAAGCAGGTACTTTGGTAATCTTATTGAGGAATATTTAGTATAATTATTTCGATTTGTTATCTATGAAATTAGCCGGCTTTGGTATAGGTTATATGATAAGTATATGAGTAACGGATACGGTTTTGATTTCCATTTTTAACCAACTTTTCAATGTTTCAAATGTCAACAATTGTTTGAACTGTTCAATCATGTCAATCATGATTAGCAAATATGGAACCATGATATTGTTTATGAAAAAAAGATCAAATGGGATGTTTCTAGAACATCTAATGAAAACATCTGATGGATGTCCCAAGAGAAACATCTCTGGGATATCGTACCTAAGTCTGAAACATTGGGACATTTGTAGGACCTTAGCGGGATGTACCAGCAAGATCCCGTGTTGTTAGGGATATCACACTATGTATAAAACTTCGTCTAGGACGAAAAGTAGGAAAACCCTAGATACCTTCTAATACAAAACTCGTTCGCCATAATTATGATCTTCCTCACCAAGTAGATACCCTGTACATTACAATTTTGAATGATTTTTTGTAGCGCCCATGGATGTGACGTGACAGCAATGTCAGGGATGCCAGTAGTCAAAACTAAAGTCTCTAGATCATTAAAAAAGAATGCAGCTATGGATTCGTCTGAGAATCTGTCCGTACCCTGTTAAGATGACTTTAACGTCAATTTCCATCAAGGGACCCTAATGACAGCTAGAGAAACTGAAAATTATTATCAATATCAATAGGTGTTCTGTTGATTAATAGGTTGAGCATCTGCCCGGTTATCTAAAAGTTGCGGGATCTCATAGGCAGGTAGGAGCGCTTTTTTTCATTTTTAATTCAAAATAAGATTTTTTCTACTCTGTCTAGACCTCTTTTGCAACAATCTGAGTGAATAAAGGCGAATCTAAGTTGATTCAGGTATACATGGTCCTGAATGAACGAACGGGGTATGTACAAATGCGCAGAATCTGGACTTCCCCAGTACGTACTTAGTACGTCTACGGTCCTTATCTAGACGTCTCCAGTACGTACAAAACGTCTTGAATGTTCTCAGTACCTACGGTTTGGGGACGTACTCGTTCTATAAGGAATGTAAGTATTGTTACGGTTCAGTTATGACTAGCACAAAAACCCTTTAGTTTCACCAATTTATTAATAGTATCTTAGTACATTATCATACTATCATCAGCTCACCGAGTATACCCGTACACTGGAGGTAAATGGTTTCCTGATTGAACCTAAAATAAAGAATAATATCAGTATTTACTAAGCACTCTAAAGATTGAATCTTCATCACTAAACTTAACACTCACCATCTTCCTTCTGCCAACCGATAATCCCTCATGATCCTTGGGTTGATTTCGTCTCATAAGTTCCCTCTATGGGTGTAGTTCTCATATACGGATGTTTCCGTATGATTCAATAGGTATTGATCACTGTTAGGACTCCTTAAGATTATGAAGTAGAGTGTAACTTCAACTTTCCACCTGGAAAATATCACCTTTATTGTTCAGCTGTTTAGTGGGATATAAACCTTACCTTGGTAGTGTCACCTTGCTTGAGGGGCACAATTAATCAGGATAAACCGACAGTACCAGGTGAGATTGTCCGATGGTATTATTGGTAATTGTTATTGTTATGATTATATCATATTTCCAGTCCATCATATTTATTTAAATGTCAAAGTAGTTATCAACTTGTCAATGTCTGATTGGTGACGTAAGTGACATATGACACCTCTCCTGTATTTACTGCAGACTGTCTCTAGACAATTATCGTAGTCACAGATCGTAGTTCGTGACGTAAACGTCATCAACTTGATGGATGTCATTGTTGAGACAACTGACATACGATTAGAAACTTCCAAAATCATGACAGGTGGTTAGCTACAAAGTCTCCCATCTCGCTTCATCCTGGGCAATAATATGAAATAGGGCTTGGGAATACCTTTTACGATTTAGCCTGTCCTGAAGAATGTTTTATATGATGAGGGATAGAGCGGTTTTCTCTCCTTTTCTAGATTTTCTATCTTTTTGTGACGGATTCTGGAAAAGAAAACGTGCTCACGCTTCTTAGCGGATTTTTCCTAAAGGGATTCAGGATATTGAACAATAGTAATCGAAATTAGCTTTAATTGGATACTATCAACAAGATTGTTGGATATACAGTTCATATTCTATTGAATCTCCATCATTAAACTTCGAACACGAGTTCGACACATTTGGCCACCTACAATCAAAGGTAAAGTACCAACCTAGCATATCTTTTCTCTCCTAGCTATTAACCTGCCTAACCATTGCTTATCATTCTGCTGCTTGCCATTTTGCTTTG